GGGGCTGCGTTTGCACGGAGAGAAAGGAATGGCGCTTTCCTCACGCGGCCTCACGGAAGAGGAAGCTGAGGCCGAGGCGTCCCCGGCGCCCAGCCCCGCGCTCCCCGTGACGGCTCAAGGGCAGCGCCGGGTGACCCCCGCCCTGAGAGCCCACCGCGCTGCCCCCGGGCTTTCCTCCCTCCAGCAGGACACCTTGGAATAAAGGCCTGAATATCAGAAAAAGCAGGAATTAATAAGACATTGTCAGTGGTTTCCAGAGTTTGTATTTCTTAAGGTAATCTGATGTTTGGAAAGGCAGCAGACTCTTTAAGGGAAAAATATGATTTATTTCCTACTCATCACGGCTTTTGTTTTTACTAGTGTCCTGTGACTAATCTCACTAACATGAGTTAAGGGTTAATGTAAAGCTGTGCCCCAAGGACAGAGGCAGCACAGGCAGAGCCACCAGTGCCTGTGAGCCCTGGGCCAGAAAACATCAAACATTAACATGTACTTGTGGGATACTCCAGCATGAACTTCGCATAGAATACTGAGGACAGAGTGGGAAAAGAAAAAGATTTTATGTTTAGAATATGTCATAAAACCTGCAGTTTGAATTCTTTGAAGTGCCATAAATCTCCACTGTCCAATGCAATGAGGACAGGAGAGCTCCTAAATATTCATGCAACACCCTTGTGCAGGTACATCTTGGCCAACCTACCAAAACCATTCCTTGCTGTGCCAACACCTCTATCAGGCATCCACTGCCAGGTGCCAGTGCCAGAGGAGCCCTGTCCCTTTGCAGAGCAGCACAGCCTCCAGGATGGCTCTGCTGGAGACCAGCAAATACTCGCAGGGCTCAGTGCTCGGCAGTGTGAACCCCGACCTCGCCAGTGAGCGACAAACAGCCTCCTTCAGCGTGGAGAAGCTCACGGCCCTGCTGGATGGTGGCACGGAGCAGACACGGATACGGAGGGCAGTGGGTGAGTGATCCTTACAAGGCCGTGGTGGGGGCTGGCACAGGCCATGGCTATGTCCTGCTGCTCTGCTCCTCCTTTGCAGCACAGTGGGGTTTGTGATCCTGGGCATTTGCTTATCCCCCCCATCTCTTTAAAAAGTGGGAGTGTGGAGCTGGAGTCTTCTCTTCATGTAAATCAGTATGACTCCTCCGCAGCCACTCCTGCTGCCTGAAGCTTTTCCTCCTCCCTGCTCCCATCCCCTGTCTCTGGCAAGACTGGTTAAACTGGAATACGAGAACTGAGGGTCGAGCATCTATGTATGAGGGAAATGCGTGCAGGGGCTGGTGCTGCTGTGCAGAAATGCACATCACGTGTGAACCACAGCCAGCTTCCCTCCTTGGCACGTTGGGCTCATCCAGGTGGGGAATTTCTTGTGTGGGTTGGCTCAACCAGGCTGAGCTGCTCTCACTCATGATGGGTGTGCCAAAAAATGACTGTTGCTCAGAAGAGGAAAAAACCCTCTCTGTCGTCTCTGTAACTGCATCCATATTATACACTTACCAAAGGAAAACAGCAAAGCCACTGGGATCACCCTCTTCACAGTGCCACTGGAGTTCAGTATAACCTTCCACATGAATAAACTCAAGGTTTAAGGCAAAATGGACAAGGGGAGTGTTCAAACTGACACAGAAATAGTGACTCTGGGTTGTTTTGCAACAGTGCAATGGGCTGGTAACATCCCAAGCAGGACACCCAGCAGGCTCTGGCCATAATCTGCCCTCTAGCTAATGCAGCTCACCACAGCCTGGGCAAAATGCTGCTCACCACAGCCCCTACTGCCCTCAAGCAACTGGAGGCAGAGGGATCCTTGGCATCCTCTGCCAGAAGTCACCTCTCCCACTGTGACCAGGCAGGGTGCCTTACCCTGCAGGGTCACCATTTCCACTGAACACACCCCTCTCTCAGGCCCACTCAGTTCCCCTTCTGCTTCCCCAAATCCACTGCTTTTCAGAGTTAGATGTGACAGCCATGGGAACCAGAACCGGCAAAACAAAACTTGCCTGCAAGCACCCTAAAAATCACAGCATCAGTATACATGAGTCCAGTTGTGCCTGCTCTTCCCAAACATGGCTCGAGGCACTGCCTGCACTTCCCGAGCCCCAGGAGAACCAACTGTTCTGTGTTGCTTTGCAGTGGAAGTTATCGAGTCTGACCCGGTATTTAGCAGAGAAAATCAGTATTTCCAGACCCAGAATGAGAGGTACGAAGCAGCAGTCAGGAAGGCTGTTCATCTCCAGAAAAAGATGCATGAGATGGGATGGACTGAGAACGGACCTGAATTTAAGTACATTTACAGGTGATTTTTTTTTTTTTTTTTAATGTACAACTATTTTGTTAAAAGCTTTGTATTCCAATAACAATCAGCTTTAGCAAAGGCTGGGAAAGGCCAGCAGCTGACAGAATAGGTTTGGATAAAAATATGCAGCAGGTTTTTACTTCAGCAGCACACTTGGGAAAAGGGAAAATGGTAGTACACGACTGGGAACTTCTCGAAGAGCAGCACATGGGTACAGTGTGATAGATCACAGCAGTTCACAATCACAACATGAGATTTCTATTTCAATAACCTCCTTACTTGCAGCTCTCATACCACCCCTTAGACATTTTTAAATGTATAACCAGCATTATGGTTAGTGGTGTTGTTTCAGTTACATTACTGACTTCTAAATAAAGATTACATTTTGTGTATCAATAAACCACATTTTATTAAAGGGAAAAAAAAAAGAAAAAAGAAGAACTCACTTTAGTTTGCAGGTAGATGAGAATAAAGTATTTTCACAGTCCTTTCCTTTATAAGCTTTTTTAACACTTTGTGTGGGGTTGAACTCCACATTTCAATTGGTTGCCCCTCCTTTCCCCCTTTGTTCAGTCAGTTCCTGGCTGGCTGTTGCCCAGGGCACACTGTCTGCTTGGTGGGGTCATGTACCCAATAGGAAGGTGCAGGTTCAGAAGTGTCACTCAGAAGGGCAATGCCTGTCCCTGACACAGCACTGCTGACACTCAGAGCCACTTTTTGGCATTTCATAGACTCATAGAACAGTTTGGGTTGGAAAGGACATTTAAAGGTCATCTAGTCTAGCCTTCTGCAGTGAGCAAGGACATCTTCAACTAGATTAGGTTGCTCGGAGCCCTGTTCAACCAGCCCTGAAATGTTTGCAGGGAGGGAATATCCACCAGCTCTCTGGGCAACCTGTGCCACTGTTTCATCATGCTCATTGCAAATGAGTTCTTCATTATGTCTAGTCTAAATCTGCCTTTAGTTTAAAACCATTACCCCTTGCCCTGTGGTAATAGGCCCTGCTAAAAAGTTGTGTTCATCATATGAAAGATGATAATTTTTTATGCTAAGCTCTTCAACACTTACAGCAAGCAGAACTAAAGAAGGGGGAAATGTGCCATCAAGAGCTATTTGACCTGATCATTATATTCCCATTAAAAAGCAGCTCTCCACTGCTCCCTCAGAACAAAAATTCCACCCCTTCTCCCACCCGGGTGTGCTTTTATCAGGCCCCCTGATGCCAAAGGCTGCAGCAGGACCAGCCCTGTGTTGTACCATTTCCAGGATTAGGAGCAGAGCTATGTGGCAGGGCAGCTCTTGCCTGATGGAACTCTAGGTGAGCACCAAGCTCTTATGACAGAATCCTGGCTCCCAGTGCCAAGCGCAGTGAATCACTCACACAATTTAAAACCCAGCTTTTCAAATTGCTGCTAAAGGAACGTTATTTCTGGCCAGGCTGCCAAGGATTCATTAAGTCATTTTCTGTTAATCAAAGCAATTTCCCTTTAACTTCTTTGTTCATATTTCCCCCCCCACACTGTTTCAGCATGATTAATTCTCTCTCAGGGCCAGTATAAAAGAAAGGTCAGAGTAATTTTTTAACAATAGAAGGTATCTATGTGAAAGGAGATGCTCTCTAGAGCACTGCAATAAAGCAATGTGCTAACAGCCACTTATTTGTACATGTACCTGTATGAGGGGATTCAACCATGTTCTGAGGAATCCCAGGAAGAGGAATATAGTCATATTCCTCATGTTTTCTTATTATTTCTCACACACACAAAAAAAAAAAAAAAAAAAAAAAGCTTAAATAAATTTCTCATTTGTGCCATGGAAATCACTGTACCCAAGTTCCCATGCACAGTTTCTGGAATAGTGCTTTTTAGGATGTGTGGAGATGGTAATGGCAAAGGACCTGAACAGATAATAAACCAGGGGTTACATGGGTGTACTTGAATTTTTCCACAAGAAAATGACATCTCGATTCAGGACAAGTCTCCCTGAACACCAGTATTGTTCACTGACAGCAACAGGCAGCCAACAGCAAAAAGTACAGCAACAAACCCAGCCTACCATGGTATTTCTGCTGAATGGGAAGGTTCAGGAAATCCAGGTCCCAGATGCCTACATGTGTAATTCAGTCTAATATGCCCCACAGTGAATTGCTAGGGTTTGGGGTTTTTCAAGTAGGGTGCTCTTTTGTTCTTTCTTTTTAGTTCAGCTTCAAAATTTGACTTAAATAATCAAGAAAAAAAAATCCTATGAATTAAAATAAAAATACAAAATGCTCACAGAGCCTCAGGAGCTTGGGAGCTGGGTTGTGCTTTTAGCTCAGCATCTGCTACTCAGAACAGATAATTCCTCCAAGACCAAGTGAAATGAGCAAGCACCACAAATGCAAACTCTGCTATAAAAGAAGAAACAAAAGCAGCTTGGAAGGGCACTTTTCCTGCAATGCTGTGCTGATGCTGGGTGCTGGGCAAGGTATGACAAGGCAGAAATCAAAAGGCAGCAGGTGGTATTGTCTGGTGACCACTGCAGTGCCACTGCCTCATTCATCACATGCCTGGAACTTCATCCCCTTAAAAACACCCCTTGTGCCTTCTCTGCAGGGCACTGTCAGGAGATGTTGCGTTCCTCCTTCACCGCGTCTTCATGAGAAGTATTTCAGTGCTGGGCTCTGACAAACAAATTTCCAAATGGATTCCTCTCGCCACCCAGCACAAGCTTATTGGAAGCTACGCACAGACTGAACTGGGACATGGTAAGGCTGTGGGGAAAGCAGCATTTCTGTATGACACAAGCCTGCAGCCCTGATTCCCATGGGAATTTGACTCCAAATTGTCCATCCTTTACCGGGACAGGGGTCGTTGGGTTCTCATTCATGGTTCTCGTCAGAAGGGTAACCACAAAACCCTGATAATACCCACAGCCAGCTTCCAGGGATCCTTCACTCTCTCCATCCCAAGAGATAGATACATAGATACTTTTTAATTTCTTTTTTTTTAAAGGTACTTACCTTCAAGGTTTGGAAACAACAGCAGTCTTTGATACTGCTACTCAGGAGTTTATACTGAACACACCAAAGATCTCTGCCATGAAGTGGTGGCCTGGAGATAGTAAGTACCACACAAAATATTTTAGGTTTTGCCTCCTTCAGTTACTGCATCTACCCTAGTTAAGCTCTGTGTTTGAGGGCCCAGGTGCTAGCAGAAGACTTAAATAAGAGATACTCTCATGGACAAGTGAGAGAGAGGGGGTTGTCCAAGTTCAGAGGCCACAAGGGAGCCACCATCATTTGCAAAACCCCTTTTGGTTTCAGGCTGAAGAACTTCACTCAAGAAAGCTATTACCTCTGCAGGAATAAATCTTCCCTTCTTTATAAATAATACTCAGACAAGCAAAAACTGCAGGGAGGTCATCAGCATAAAGGATTAGAGTCATCAGACAATCTCAGCATAAAGGATTCAAGTGTGAAATTCTTGGCTCCCTTCAGGAAGGTATTTAACAGAAAATAACTGGAGTCACTGCAACAGCCACAGCACTTCCCACTCTCAGCATTACATTAGCTCAAACTGTTTATTTTTTTTTCTCATATTCTGTTACAAAACCATTAATCCAAGCCTTATGGGCAGCAACAGAAGCAGAATGATGGTGTAACTTCTGAGAGCTAAGAGCAGGCTGATTTAGGTTTCCAGCACACAATTGTGCTGACCCATACCTAAGACCCAACATAATTAGTACTGACCGACCTTAACAGTGTTTGTGCTGTAACTTGTCTTAAGGGAATGGGGCTGTTTTTCTTCTCACAGTGGGAAGATCAGCAACCCACACAGTGGTCTTTGCTCAGCTGTACATCCATGGGAAGTGCTATGGCATCCATCCCTTCATCGTGCAGATACGCAGCCTTCAGGATCATTCCCTCTGCCCAGGTAAATAACCCCAGACACTGCAGCATTAGGTGCTCTGCCTATTTTGCCCTTAAATGTTTTCTAAAATGTTGGGCCCAGGGAGAGTTATAATTGCCAAAACCAAGTCAAGAGAGTTACCAAGGTGTAGTTATCATTAACCCCAACTATCTGAAGGGAAATTTAACATATCCTCAGCCCTAGCAAGACCAAGCCCTTATCATAACCAGAAGCCTGGGCTGCTCTGAGCACCTCAGTTCTGATCCCAGCCAGCACAGATCCATGTCAATGGATCATGGAAACAATCTACTACAAGTCATTCAAATGCCTGTTTCACCCCTTGGGCAAGATCACCCATGCTGGGGAACAAGCAGAGTTGACCATGCCCTTCATTTAATGTCCCCATCCTGACACAAAAAGGGGAGCAAAAAGTTCAAGTGGAAGTAAGTAGGCTGTGTTTTCTCCTTCTGCAGGCATAACTGCAGGAGACATCGGTCCCAAAATGAATTTTGAGCACATTGACAATGGCTACCTCCTGCTGAAGAATGTGCGCATCCCCAGGGAGAACATGCTGAGCAAGTTTTGTGAGGTATGTGTGGACTCACATCACAAGCTTGCTGCCAGACTCTCATTCCACAGCCAGAGAGACAACAGGGACCTGTCTAAATTTGGGACAAAAATCTTCCTTTGAGTGTCAGCAAGTCTCTGAGGTTTTATCAAGGGCAGAAGGTACCTGAATCCTAAATGAAAGTGTCAAGAATTCCACGGTCAGAAACTGGGGATCATGGGGCAGGCAGAACCTACTCTGACAGAAGCAGTAAGAGTTTCTCTTCAAATGGATATCTTTCATCCATCATACATAAAAGCAATGTTTGCTTTCAGTGAAGGATTTTTATGTCCATTTTATTCCATGCATAGTGATTACACAACCATAATAGTACTGAATAAGGCAGCATCTGACAGCCTCTCTCTACTCTAGGTTCAACCAGATGGCACCTATGTAAGACAGGGGTCACAGAAGATTAATTATTTCACAATGACGACAGTGCGCATTTCGCTCATTTCAGACGAGGTTCTGACCCCCCTCATGAAGGCTTGCACCATCGCCATCCGATACTCAGTGGTTCGCCGGCAGTCCAAGTTAAAGCCTGGGTAATGCCATGCATCCCAGTGGGAAGGGAACTGTACACTGTGTTCTCCCATGCCAGTTTGTATTTCTTCTCTTCATCTTATCTTTCAGCCCATCACTGGCTGATTTCCTGGCCCAGACAGGGCATGATAAACATGCTTCCCCATTATTTACATTAACGAGCTTCAGTCAAAGTACAAAAGAATGTTTACTTTGAATAGGTCAGTGGCTCACACAAGCAACCTATTCTTTTATAAACGGCCTTCCCCTGTAATCCCATAACTGAACAGAATCCAGACAAATTTCAGCAAAGTTGCTGAATTCTTATTCCATAGTGTTCTACTACCAGATGCAACATTAAAATACCTTTCAACATCCAGAAATCCAATATCCCCACCTTAAGCATTGAATTATATTCAGAGTTGAATCCCCATTATTTTTAAAGAGGTATGTTAATTTGAGTGGATTACAAAGATTTCCATTTAAATCACCTTTCAAAAAAGAAAAAGACTGTGTTCAAAATAATTCAGACTCAAATATTTTCAGAGAAACATTTCTATGCTAGGGGCTACAAAGTTTCCATTTAAAAAGCCAAAGATTATCAGGGTGCAATGCAACTGCCTTTCCTGGAACACCTAACAACTTGCTATCCTTGAAGACCTCATTCTCATCCTTTCCTGTAGGCCTTGTTCCCCTCTGTACTGACTGACCACATAGAGCCTTTTCTACACTGTTAGGCTTTTTTGGATTTGTTTCTCTAATAGCTTAGCAACCTGGGCAGATTTCCTGTCTCATTGTCAGCTCGGTTTTGTTCACACACTGCTTCTTGGTAATGAAAAACGTCATTTTCATTCTGCAGCAGGTAAAGTAACAGTAGCTATGCCCATGTCCACACTTCCCCTGCTTCATCAGCTGTCTTCCAACAGGGAACAAGAAGCAAAAATCCTTGACTACCAGACTCAGCAAGAGAAACTTCTGCCCCAGCTGGCAGCAGCCTATGCCTTTCATTTCATCAATGACTACCTGCAGGAGCTATTCAACAGGGGGTACACAGAGATCCAGAGGAAGAACTTTGACATGCTGCCAGAGGTGAGCTACAGCATGATAAACTCATGCAGTACTTCTGTTCTCTAAATGTTAAAATATTTTAGTAAACTGGATGAACATTTCTTTCACAACAAAAGAACTGGAAAAAGAGGAAGCACCAAGAGGTCAAATGACGTGTCCCAGGTCTGCAACCAGTCAGCAACATCATTCGCTCTACCACCCCAAACTTTTTGTTTTAGGAACCATTGCAGAGTGAAAAGTCCTTGGAAAGCATGTCCAAAACCTCATTCCAAGTAGCTGGTGGCACAAAGTGTTATTACACAACTTCATCTACAATGCGCATGCACATACATCTGAGCCAAAACCAAAAATGTGACTTTTAGACAGAACAGAGTATTTTGCAATTGGGTGCTTGTAATGAAGACAGTCTTAACAAAGGTGGCCAAAGCCAGAACTGGCTGAGAGGAACCCAAAAATGCATAAACTGACTGCCATGTGCCCAGACAGGAGCATGTGCAGCATCCCAGAGAGACACCAAAGGCCAGGCTCAGGGAACTGGGTGCTACGACCACACAAAGGGGGATCTGACCAGAATTTCATGCCCAGATATTGCACAAAATTTTAAAAAGGAACTTATTTTGAAGATTCCACCAGTAATACTCTGCTTTCTTCTTACTCTTTTTTTAACAGCTTCATGCATTATCTTCAGGTTTTAAAGCCGTGATCACTCAGCACTGCACTGCAGGAGTGGAGATCTGTCTCCGGGCCTGTGGGGGCCATGGCTACTCCCTGCTGAGTGGACTGCCTTCCTTGTATACCAAAATACTTGCCTCTTGTATTTATGAAGGGGAAAACACCATTTTGCTCCTGCAAACTGCCAGGTAACAATTCAAATGTGTTCATTTAAAAGCCTGCCCCCTCGTTTATTCAGCCTTTACCACTTCTCCAAAACCAGTAAAACCAGCTACTCCTTTTTCACATCACCTTCTAAAAATACAGCTCAGGACATAAACTATTCATGTCTTCAGTCTAACAAGCATGGAAGTGTGTGGGAACTGGATTATCTCTTCTATTTTTGGTTTGGGGATGTATGCAGGTGCTGTTCTGCATAACCTCGTTTTCCTCTTTGCCTGGTAGCACAGCAAAGGTATTGCTGTGAAAGTTTTGTGGTTAATTTTTTAAGCTACCAATGTAACAATGGTACAATGTAACACAATATCGGTAAAGTGGTCGATTCAGAGGAAGCAAAGTTGTTGGAAACTGAAAGTGGATGAGTCATGCTCAAAGAACATTACTTTCCTCCAAACATGCAGACTGATGATTCTCAAGAACAGATGAAATACAGGATAAAGAAGCTACAGCTGCTTGAACTTTTAATAATGTATGTTTTTACTAGAAGGAGAAAACCAGGGCACTTCCCAGGGTCAGAGCCACTACAAAGCTCCGTGCTGCCATTCAGACATTTCTGCACTCATTACTGCTTTTTGGAAGATCAACAGCAAGGTCAACAGAAATGCTGTACCCTTTTAATTCCAGACCTGGTCAGTCTAGCTTATAGCAAAGGTACCAAAAAACTAAGGGAGAGGGGAAACTCTCTCCAAAGGGTCTCATGTGTAATGCAACTGTGTGTTGGGGATCAAGAGGGTAAGACCAAATCACCATTAGAGCTCCAGGGCATTGATACTCAGGTTGCAAAGTTGATAGTGTAACTAATCACCACACTGCTGAGATTGCTAATAGCCACAGCAAGTTTCTGCTGAAAAAATTATCATTATGGATTGCTGTACTATTAAATAAGGCAGGCAGGCCACCCCTGAGACCCACCACAGATCAGGTTATTGTGAGTAATATGCAAAACAAAAGGTCATTACTTGTTCAAATCCATTCTGGGCCACTGATGGGACAGGTCACATCTTGCTGCTCCTCACCTGAGCCCACTTTATTTTTTGCATGTCTGTTTGCTGTGAGATGACCATACCCTGTTCTGACTGTTACCCTCTTCCCAGGTTCCTGATTAAGTGCTTCATGGCAGCCAGTGCTGGCCAGCCTGTGCCACCATCTGTCACTTATCTGGCTGCAGTGAAACACGGGAGGTGTCCAGCCAAGAACAAGCTGGATTTTCTCAGTCCAGATATTTACACTGAGGCCTATCAACACATGGCAGTCAGGTCAGTACAGAGGATGGGAGACAGGATTTCTCTCTGACATCAGAAATGTGTTAAGAGCTCAGCTTCTTCCTTGCTTTAAAGGGAGGTAAAATAAAATAAGTTAAACTAGGATTGGCACCATCTGTTCCTGAAAAGGAAAAGGAAGGCTACACAGGATTAACAGCCATGTCAGATGTTCAGAATGAAGCTTTCACACTCAGAAGTTTTTAAGCCATGTGCTACCAAACAACAAAATGTCAAAGAGTTGGTGGCACTATTAAAGTAAATGCCAGACCACATCACAGAGTTTCCATCTAGTAAAATCTTTACTGGACCTTGAGCAATTCTATTAGAATCTTAAAATTTCACATACCTGAGAAAGTGATGTTTATTCTCAGTTTACACCATAGCAAGAACAGAGCCTCTCATTCTGTCTGTAGCCTTTCAACTACACATTCAGCAACTCAACATAAACAAAAATGGTACCATGAGTGGTCTCAGAATTATGTACACTGTTATGGGCTGTATAGGTGTCACCTCTGAAAATCAGGTAAAAAGACAACCCTGCTGTCATTGAAAGCAGTGTAAAAACAGCCACTCTTTAAAAAGCTTCATCAATGGGAACAAGATTTGAATCCCTGTGTAGGAAAGGAGAAACATCATGTAACAGCAGTCCAGTATTCCTGTTTGTTTTGGAAACTCTCCTTACACACATACAACCCAAGAAAAGCTCAGCTAAACTCCTGGTGAACTACCCTGGAAGCTGAGAAGGCAGAAATCCTTCAATACCAGGGTGGTCTGGGTTCTTCTCACAATTTATACCTAGATTTTGCATCATCTAAGTTCACTCATACTAAGTGTAGATAACTCCAGATGTCAGAAATACCAGTTAGCCCTTCAGTCACACAACTCCCGAGTACAAATTCATGCATGTGGGATGCAGATACAAGATGCTTTGTGCTTTTTCAATTTTTCAGGCTCACAAGCAGCACAGCAGCAAAACTACAGGATTTAATTCAGTCTGGAGTCAAAAAGCATGATGCGTGGAACCAGTGCACAGTGCAGCTGGTGCAGGCTGCAAAGGTTAGCAAAATTTATCTGCTCATCTAATGTTTGTCTTTATGAAACAATATGCAACAGAAATGGCATGATTAGCTTAAAGCCTCAGTGCTGTTAATTGTTTCCTGTTGGCATCTAAGAGACACCACAGACTGTCACTGTGGTCTACATGGTGGAAAAGTTGTAGTAAGAAGCAATTCCTGGTCTGAAAAATTTGCTGATTGTATAGGCCAGGTAGAAAAAGACTAGGGGAAATGAAAGGGAGGAAAAATACATTCACAGCTATGCTGCCACTACTGGCAGAATCAGACCTCCCATATCCTGCAACAAAAACCCACCATTTCCAGCCAACACTCATCTTTTCATAAGAATCCAGTGCTTCTGGTGCCCAGAAGAATCTTCCTAAAGCCACTCCACTGAAAGCTGGTGGAGTCACAGCAAAGGATGGAACATGCCTGGTATTTCTTCCATCTCCTGGAAAGATAACTGCAGGGAAAAGAGTGAAAACCAGTGATAAGTGCAATGTTAACTTCTGGAAGATAAATCATATTTATAAGAGGTGCTTTCAACTGAAGTAGCATTGGGATAGCAGCATGTGTTCCCTAAAACAAGGGTGAATTAGTACAGAATTAAGCAGAAAAGAGGGGAGAAAAGCCCTAAATATTAATGAAAACTAAATCATTGTTAGTTCTGTATCTCCAAAAACCAAAATTCTTTTTTTAATATGCAATTAATGCAGTTCTTCCATACAGTTATGGTGAAGGTCTTTCTTCCCTTCCCTTCATTTTGAAACAGATCCACAACTTATTTTAACATCATTAACTATTTCTGAAGAGCCTAACAAAAGCAGAGGGCTGGCTGTGGTATCATCAGTGCTGCTGCTAGACTCCTCAGAAAATGGGATCCAGGCCCACAAAGTTTCTTAAATCTTTCAGGGACAAGAAAAGTCATCCAAACGCCTTGAGGTTGCCACATAACTTTAAAATTTTGATATACTGCTGCCTTCTTGGGGCAATTCTGTATTTACTTCTTATTCCATACCTTCCCTGGAGATTCACCCACACATCTGGCATAGCAACTCTATGAACTGACACCTACCAGCTCTCAGCTGAGTGGCTCAGACACTGGGCAGACTCCACATGGGTTAATTGCTTGAGTGGCCACCCAGGGTCACTCAGCTTCCCAGGCAGGTTCTGAAGTCCACCCTGCTTCCACATCTGCTGCTTCACCGTGCCAGCAGGAAGAGCTGCAGTGCAGGTGTGACACACCTTTACACCTGCAGCTGGAAGGGAACTGTGCAGTGGGGGAGTGAACCCACACAGATCCCAGCACCACCAACCACCCACAGCAGTGTCAATGTAGCAAGAGTCACCCCACAGACAGGTGGAGTCAGCCTAATTCATCTCCTCTGCACCTCTGCTAATATTTCTGAGTTAAACACTCTACTGGTGTGTGGCCCCAAAAATACCAGTTTACTTAAAATCACAAAAGTGTGAGGTAAATTTGGTTGTTATTCTGTGACAATGGTGTTTCCAGAGCTGAAGCCTTGTAGACACTGATCCCGAAGTACCATGAGCCCAAGGTCTTCAACAGAAGTTTTCTCCTGTTGATGTACAACCAACATTCACTTACAACACAAGCACATTGGAATGTGTTTCCTTCACATAAACTCTTTGGGATATTCATCAGAACTATTTAGTTTAGCGTGATTTCTGAAGCAGTTTTATGGAGTCTACAAATACCACAGTGTTGACTGTTTACACATTCCGTTTTCTGCTGTTGCTGTAAGCCATGAATGCAAAAGGCCTGGTCACCCAGCAAACAAAGGATACAGACTGGAGAAGTGCCAGGGAAATGAAAAGGTTTTATATTCTTTGCAAGAGCATTTGAGTCACTTGGCCTACTAAAGTGTTTGAGGTGCATTCACTGTTGATTGCATTTGTTTTCCAGGCTCACTGCCACTACATTGCAGTGAAAAACTTTGCAGAAACAGTGGAAAAACTCGAGACCAAGGCTGGCATCCAGAAGATTATGAAACATCTCTGTGACCTCTTTGCACTACATGGGATCTTCTCAAATACAGGAGCCTTCTTACATGATGGATACACATCTGCAGCTCAAATGGACATGGTCACAGCATCCTACCTGGACCTCCTGGCTGTCATTCGGTGAGCTGCTTTGGCAGGACACTCACAGCTATCCAGTTTATCCCTGTGCTAGATATAAAAGGGTGCTGCTGTACCTATGGCAACATCTCCACAGTCAATTCACCTCATTCAGTTTTTATTTCCATTGCCTGGCTGCACTAGAAATTGATTGAAACATCTATTCAGAGCTTGTTTTCATGGCAGAAGAGACCCAAGTGTCCAGCTCCTCTGTAATCTCTAAAGTTCTGTAACATGAAATCTTAAATTATAAATGAAGAAGTCATGAACACTTTCTGCCATCTGCAGTAGACTGAAAGCAGGAAAATACGTAGTCAGAGCACACTGGCAGGAGGCAGCCACAGCAACCCATCACACATTGCAAAATCTGCTTAAGCCACAGCTAATACAACCTACTCTGTTGCCATGGCTGAGCTGCAACTGGTACCCAAACAATCCTGCCTACAGCTACTTCAGATGCATCTGCTTGACACCATTTATCACCAATTCTGTGAATTCTGAGTTAAGATTTTCACTTACCGCAACACTCACAGAGGCTTCTTGACAAAGAGTTCAGCTTTCACTACTCAGTGCTGTTTGTTTAGAATATACAAATTTACAGTGCAGAGGAGTTGCTACTGTATGTAAAATTCTACCTAAGCCACCTGAAGAAAAACAAGAACACACTATAAGCAAGGGCTGAACAGGGCTGAACCAAACAGCAAGGGTTTTCAGAACTGACAGCAGAATCTGAATTAAATGGTAAGTTTAACATAACATTTTCAAAGGCTAACATGTTGTCTTTGAAATTCATTGCAATTTGTGTGTTAGTCCATGCCTTGCTAACAGGACTCAAGAATTGATGTTTTAAATATTTACAGTTAGTAGAAAGGATTTAACCACTTCCTGGTCTGTAGCAAAAACCCAGCCTTTCCCAAACCCTCAGACTGCTCTCCCCGAAAAAGGAACTAGAAGATGGAAATGCCAACATTTGAGCAAACCACTTTGCATCCTGGTACCTCAACTTCCTAAACCCAGGATGATGGGAGGATGAGGAAAAAGAAACTATCTCCTGCTTAGAAGATGCTGCCTGTGCTCCAGCTCTCCATGCTGTGAGACTAGCCCCTGGGCTAGATGGGCCCTTGGATGGGTTAGGGTTGTTTTGCTCTTACAGACATGAATAGAAGAGCTCAACACCTCGTGATGAGATAACAGAAATTCTGAAAGGTAGATGAAGGTTGGAGATCAGTAAAGCAACTTCACATCAATCTAGTAAGAAACTTATTCCATTTTATAAGACACATATACAGAATAAAAAAAAAAAATCGAAAGAATGAACTGGAAGAGACTACTGAGAAAAAATCTGACGTGAGATTGAGTGCTGAATTGGGGATGGAGCCTGGGTGATTACAAGACCCTGCAAACATCCACTCAGCTGTGCAGACAACTCAAGGCATTAGTAGAACGTCACAGATTCACAAAATCATTAGGGCTGAAAGGGACCTCTGGAGATCATCTAGCCCAATCTCCCTGCCAAGGCAGGGTCACCTAGAGCAGCAATTCCCCCCTCCAGTAAAGAAAAGGAGGAAAACTGGCACAAGCCTTCCAGGAGAAACCTGGGAAACTGACTTCCAAGTTCATCTTTGATTTATTTTCCCATCTTGCAAAGCAGTACCCTCTCAGTAACAGGAATGTCACTCCTGTGCTCTGTAGGAAGGATGCTGTGCCACTGGTGGACGCTTTTGACTTCACGGACAAGAGCCTGAACTCTGCACTTGGCAGCTACGACGGACAGGTTTACCAGCGGCTCTACGAGTGGGCTCAGAAGTCACCCACCAACCAGGTAGGGATGAATTACAGCTGGGCAACTTCCACAGCACCCAGGGCAGAAATTCCTTTTCTTCTAACAAAAGCAATACAGAAAAGAGATGAGCATTTAATTCTTTGTATCACTGATTTGTAATACATTGTACAGAATAAGCTAAAATAAAAGTCTGTTCACATATTATAGAACAGCACTAAATGCAGGGTGTTTTCTATACACTGATAGTTTTACTAATGCAAAACTCGGGATTTTAAATATGTCTAACCAGAAAGATTATAAGTGTTAAACAAAGCAATTTGATCCTTCAGAGTCTTTAACACCTTGTTTTCTCAATTCATCCATACTGTGCAGTAAAGTAAAATTCTGTGTGATGTAAATATGTATTGCTCTGTTTGAAAACTCATTTGGCCTTGAGTGAGATTTTTGCTATGGTAATCAGTATTCCTTTGAAATTCCAGAGCTGAACACAAAATTTACCTTCAGCAAACATTCAAGTCCAATCATATTTTCTGAGTTTAAATAGTATGCTGTCCCCTTTGGGATGAGTGTGGTGTGCTGGTTATGAAGTACAATACATATTATAGGGAAAATGATCTTGCACATAGTTGAAGTAGCTGTTAGTTTGTTGGTTGTTTTTAAGTAGTGCAGCTTTATGTATTTCAGAGATTGTTCTTAAAAATTATAGCCTTTCTCTTCTAAATTACCATTAATTTCCTTCCTCATTCTCTTTCTGAACAGATGAGCCCAGCCTACGAGAGGTATTTGAAGCCACTTCTGCACAACACACTATCGAAATTATGAAGACCATGTTCCAAGTGAAGGGCACACATTTCCTTCTGTTCTTTGTGCAGCAGTACATTTATGAAGCATCAGTAATGACTAATCAGAATTAATAATCAGTTGCTTATTTGCAGTTACAAGTATGAAAGATTCTCAGCCAGCAATTTGCAATTAGACAGATGCCAACAGCGCTGAGTGGTACCTGCTGCTGTGAGACAATCTAATCAGGAATGGTCCAGGTTTTCTATCCTGAAGTGTCTTGACAGCATCAAAACTCTCTCATTTGACTTTCTTACTCTCTTTCTAAAGCCACTATATGGTGATTGAGAGAAAAAAAACCATCACCACACTGTGAACCCTCTCTCAGTGTGTTGTAACTATATAGTGACTTCAGAAACCCAAAACAACCAACTTTACTGAAAAATCCATGGTGAAATAATGATCTTAGGAACAAGCTGTTCTCTTCAATCAGAAAGTATATTTGAAAGTGCATCTGTTTTGACAATTAAAATAGCTCTTGATTTGCTCAGTACTGGAATATTCCTGCCTAATGAAGATGCAGACAAAGCTGATGCCAGCTCCAGTCTGCAGAATTTACCTTCCCATTAATAGAGCTGCTCATACTGTCTTTCTATAAATCTTTAGCTCAAATAAAGTGTATTATTTGGAATACTGCTTCTCTAATTATTATACTTCATAATTATGGAAAGGGCAGGCTGATCCAGGCCAGTCATTAATTTGCTCATAAATGAAGTGTTGCAAAGAACATCTTGTGATTATAATTCAATGCCAGTTAACACGGAAATTTCTTACCATGTGTTGCAAGAAAGAAACTTTTCCTGAGCTTCATCAGTTCTGCTTCTCTTCCCTCCTTGACAGCAAGAATAAAGCTCTCACTGCTGCCTCTTATTACATAAGTCAAAAACCTGCAATGTATGAAGAGGAAGAGACAAAATATGACAGAGAAGTACCCCCTGAGACAGGCCTTTAGAGCTAGATATGGGATGGAAAGCTCACACCTACTTGGGACAAGAACTTCATGGGAGAACAGAATCCACTCCACAAAACAGGTACCAACTCCCTCACTCCCAGCTGCAATCAAGTTAGAACATATCCAGAAATTCTATTAATAACTATAACAAAGGGACCAGGATGAGTAGAAATGTCTTTATGAAACTGAGTAAAGCCACAGAATTTGACTTGAACATCACCAGAAAAAGCATTCTGTAGTTAAAATTATATACAAAGTCACTACATGAAGTGCTGGCAAACCAGGCAACTCTATTAGCAGCTTGAAATATTTGGGCTCTGTGTTCCCTCCATTCCTACCCCCTTAGCCAGTACAAATATTTGCCATCTTTCTATCAATCTAAAGCAGTTTTCAGAACACAACCTTTGTCTATATCCTTTTGAATCAACTGATTAACATAAAAAGGAACAAATTACATCATTAATGGAAGAAACCAGGGCCCTGCCAGAACACCCAAACTACTCTGTAGTACAAAAAAACAGGATTTGGGTGGGAGGTTTCTTGTTTGGTTGGGTTTGGCTTTTTTAAGTATAAGAGCTCTAAAATACAAAAAGAAAATACAAAACAGTATTCTGTATTTCACATTTTTATTAGCTTCTTCTGGCAGGCATTACACTTGGGAATAATATTGCACCAGGCATTAAAAATATGAATTCTACCACAGGGACATTTTGCATTTAGAATCCAATATAAATATGTGTAATCATATTTCCATGGCTACAGATAATATTTGGTTGCTTGATTTATATGCATAGAAAGAAACAGTTGTCATAACTGTAAGAAACTGTACTTATCAAGTACTTTTAAAGGGTGGGATTTGTTTTCCTAAAATATTACAATACTGTTTATTGATTTAGAAACTAAATTAGTCTACACAATAGCAGCTTCTCCCCAACTGCATTTTAAAATCTTTTTTGTTTCTTGCTCCCAGTGTCATAGCATTAGATGGATTAGAAACCATTTAAACAAGAGGTAATTTTAGCACTTTTGAGTTGAGTCAGAGAATTGTGTTAATGACACAAAATACCCTATTGTACTGATTCTTAGGACTCCCTCTTTCAAACAAAAAGGTGTCTTCACTTGAACAGGCACATGCACGGTATTTTTTCTGAACTGGACAATAGAACAGAGCTGCTAGAGAATGAAACTCCTCCAGTCCTCACTGATAAACAATAAATAGTCATATAAAAAAAGCCCATATTGTTGCTTTAGTCAAAATCCAGACTCTCTTGGGTTTACTGTCCAATTAAGTTGCTAATCACTGAAGTGGCTCCTGTGGAGTCAGAATCAGTCATCTGTTTTCCGTGCCAGTCTACAGAAAGTCCAGTTATGCTCCACTGTGTTTTCATTGGCACGCTCACTCATGTGATGGACTCTGGTGTTCCTGATCGTGAAGCCTTGCTTTGTGATGTACTCCATGAGATGCACTCGGAGCGACACTTCCTGGTGGTAATCACATGGCCCAAAGGTGAAGGATACCTGGCAGTCCCTGGTGTCCATCATGTGCTTATTCCACTTGGTGAAGTGGTTTGAAATGCCTTCCAATAGTGCATGGACTTTCGTCGTGATGGTGAGCTGCGTGATGATCACAGCCACCGGGTTGGAGTACTTGGAAAGTTTCCGGGTGCTGGACAGCTCCACCACCTCCTCAAAGGTATCCACGGGATACAGCGGCTTGGGGTCATTAAGACACTGAATTAAGGGTTCAATCTGATAGAAGTCCGCTTCCTTCCGGAGCAGGTCAAACTCCTTGAAGTCCAGTGGCAAAGTGAGCTCTGAGGTCCTTAAAAAGTTAAGAACATAACGGAAAAGTGGTCCATCTCTGTCAATAAAGTAATTGCCCTGAGAGTCCCTGGCAGTGGGGAAGTCTCCCCTGAACATGGCCCCGAGCATTGAGTCAGGATATCTCGTTAGAGTTGTGAGGGAGGTCGTATACATGTGTCCACCCACATTTAGCGTGACTGGATCAGTCATCTAGAAAGAGAGAAATTGCAGAGTTTATCAAGCCCCAACAAGAAGATTCGATCACCTCGCTGACACACATGGCAAATACTGCTGGAAAACGGGGGAATCACACTTCTCCCGCTGAACACCCCTAAGGGCTGTTCAAACCTGAGCAAATCCAAGCCACCTAGCAACAAGGCACAGCTGGCAACTAGACAGGATGATACTTAGCATGCAGAATGCGCATTTCCAGAATGCTTTAGAAATCTTAACAACTGAGCTACTGTCACAGGAGCAAGTTTAGCATTTGGGTAGCAAGTTTTTTCCTATTCTACAGATGGGGAAATGAGAACAGAGAAATTTCCTGAAGAACAAGTTAGTCAGAATGAGGCCCAGCAACGTTCCTTACTTTCACAATCTCTCTCATTCTAGAACAAAACCAAAACCAAATGAAAAGGAAAGAAAAAAATCAGCCAAACAAATGTTAAGCCTCTTTTTATCCCTCAAAAGAGGAAGACAATGCAAGTTTAAACATAGGACCAAGAGCTCACAATCAAAATAATCCATTGCTTTGGCTCAGAGGCTTCATTAAACAGGCAAGAGAAAGAAAGTACTTTCAGCTTTTAACTCTAAAAAGAAATATTTATTGACAAATTTGCGTGCTGCATAGAAGTGGGGGGGCAGAGCACAAACCAGTCTGCATCAGATTCCAGATAGCACATGAGGAAGCAAGAGAGAAAGGAACATAAATTCCATCTGGCCACCAAGTCTAACAACCAGGACTGCAGCCAGCCAGAGAAAAGAGACATATGCATGGCAGCAGAATGAGAAGGGGAGAAAAATAAGATGTGCCTGTCTAGTTTGATACAAGGTTTACATGGAAAAATACTTTTCTCGATAAATAAAATGACAAAGTCCTTAAAATGATAAGCAGAAATCACAAACTATTTTCGGCCTTTGTATTAAGAAAACAGTAACAGTGAGCTCAAGGCATCAGTTCAGTCCTGGCTGATTGTCCCTAGGAAATGTGAACCTGGGCACCCCCCACAAGCTGCACAGGAGATGCAGCTCTCCAGGGAAGGTGAGTAAGCTGCTGTAAAGCTGATTTAAAAGGCATAGTTTTCCCTCTCTCATGACTGAAGCTCTGGATCTACAGAAGGCAGATCTGGAAGGATTCTTGCTGCAAGACCTTGGAAGCCCCAGATGTAGTGCACAGTGCACACTTGCACTCACCATATATCCCCAGTCTCCATTATCCATCTGTTCAAGTGCTTGAACTGTGGTATTCCAAGTTTAACAGAAGGCTGCTGAAAGGATACACAATTCCCCTCTTCTTATCTCTCTGCAGGAAAAAGCACACACAAACACAGAACAAAAAATGGCAGACCATCAGTACCTACAAGAACACCAAGGGGAATGCTTTCCAATCAAAGGCAGGCTCTCTGCCAGGAAAGCATTCAGCTACAAAGTCACATTAGCAGGATAATCTGCAAATCCACTTTTCCCTCCTTCTCCCATCACATTACCCACAGGACTGTCTCTGGAGCACACATAACCACTCCACCAGTTGCCTGAACACCCCAGTTTTCTTGAATAACAAGCAATGTGCCTCTGAGGGTAATACATGTTTGTAAGCAACCTTTCACCTGGGAAACCGAGTACTTTGAAAGACAGATGTTGTTTTCCCCAATAAAAAAAGTTTATTTAACAACCTCTGAGGTCACACCATGTGATCCATTAATATTAGTCAACATTCCCATGCTCCAGTTTCAAACTGCACAAAAGAGTAAATCAAGCATGAAAGTCAATGAACACTAAGAAGAAAAAAACTCTCACTGAAGAATTAATAATTCAGTAGTGGAGAACAGCAACTGATAGCAAGGACATTAATCTACAGACAAAGAGTATGAATGGACTTCCCAGACACCTACTCTCAAAAGCAATCTCTGCAGGGACAAGACAGAGGACATCTAACATGTTGTCAACACACTCCAACAAAAGCAACTTGAGTAGAGATTCATGCTGTGACTTCCCAGAAGATGCTGAACTGTTGACTTGCATAACAAGGGGACTGTACGGCAAACCCACGGCCAGGTTGTGCAACTCGGGGAAGGGGGAAATTAATGACCTCAGACACCAGTGTTGATTTGCCAAAGGTGGCCTGTCAACCATGGCAAGCGATGGAAGGACAGGAAAGCCAGTTGTCAGTAAGCCTTTATCCCTACCCAGAGCCTGCCTCTCTGCTAGAATTGCTGAAAATTTAGGTCAGCCTGTTTTAAGTAGGGTAGAGCTTCTCAGCTTTGTTTATTTTTACATCTTAAAAGACCACACAGTTCCCAAGACTTCTGGTCCCATCCTCTTTACTAATAAACTTCAACATACAGTCACCCAGCTAAAGGCAGCACAAAGATTGAGCCAAGCCAGAGCCCCACATTCCAAAACGACTGAATGTTTACAACCAAAAAAGATAACTTGCCCTTCTCATTCCTAGGAAATAAGGTTGATTTCATTCAACACAGAACAAGGCAGCACATCCCATCTCTCTGTGCCCTGCTGCCCTGCGCAAATCCACAGCCTGGACAAAAAAAAGAGTCCAGCAGGTCAGGTCTTTGGGACCCAGCAGCACAAGCACAGCCCCAGCTGCATCTCAGGTAGATTAAAGAGTACAAAAAACAAAATCAATGTATGAAAATAGTGAGGTCAGACAACAGAAGACTAAGGAATACTAAGATACAGAACAAGTCATACCAGGATCCTATTTTTACAAATTAGAGACACAGCATGCCTCAAGAGAGTACATTAAAGCACATCCCCTGACAGCAGATAAACCTGGAACACCAGCTCTTTTGCCAAACTCTGTAATTATTTTTTTCTAACTGCTGACAAATCAAGGAGTGAATTCTTTCAGGGTTTTATTGTTTGTTTTGGGGAGTTTTTTGGGGGTTTTTTGAATTGGGTTTTTTTTGGTTGGTTTGTTTTTTGACTTTTTTTGGAATTGTCACTCAAGTACAGTTTGTAAACTTTTAGCAAAGCCTTTTAAATTCCAGCACTTGAAGGTGTTATTCTGATCAAGTACAAGAAGAGGATAACATGCAGATGCATTAAAAGCATATGAGACTGGTACAGGTTTCTGATATTCACTTGAAAGTAAAATGATACAGCCAGCCAGAAACCTCGCCAGCAATCATGACTGCAGTCTTAATAAAATTAATTCAAATTACACATCCAGAGTATTTCAAAGACAGAGATGTCCATCAGTGCTATTTTAACTGGTGAATATGTTACTTTGGTCAGCATGTAAGTCCAGCACAGACGAATCAAGACTTCATGAGCGAAAGAAAGAGATGACACTGCAAGCCTGTGCAAGGGCATGATTTAATCCTTGATCACAGCACTCCTGTGTAACATCGGAGTGAATAATTTACCGGAGCAATTATCTGAAATAAACCTAGCCCTCAATAGAGAAGGGGCATGGAGAAATCTCTGTGACCTTTGTGTAAGGACCCAGAACCACAAGGCACACACAGACCTCCCTGGCACACCAGTGCTGGAGCCAGATGTGCCACATGAAAGGATGATACCAGGAGGCCACCCTAAAATGCCCAAGTGTGATCCCAACCATTTGCTACTTCCCTCATCAGCCTGGGAGCTCTGAATTTCTACACAACTTCACAGGTGAAAGTAGCTTAGTTTGGGTACAACCTGAGCTAAGGACTCGCCAACCACATCACAACAAGGCTGAGAATAGACGCCCTTCATGACACGCGCCCTTTCAATGATGCTTTAAATCCTCCTGAACGGAACACAGTGATCATCAGTGCGGGTGGGCAGACACTCCATCCATCCCCCAGCACTGGCAGCCTCAAGCCAGCTCTGTCCTTGTGCCACACACCAATGGACAGCATGCAGGGACAGGCTGACCAACACAGCTACTCCTGTCCAGACAGCAAATTACAGACACACACAGTCATATCCCAAGGCAGCCTACATTTGATAACCACAAAAAATATTTAAAGTGAAATTCAGTCAGACAAATTGCTGACCCAGTTAAGCCAAATGGGATATCCCACTCTGGTGGGAGCAGATGTGCACGGATGGTGTCAAACCACAGTCCTGCTGCCGTGACACTGCTCTGCGTGCAGGGAGAGGACACACAGCAGTGACACAGTCACTGGGGCTCCTGCCACAGCCCAGCACAGCCAGAACTGGAATGGGAAGCAAGAAAAGCACTCAAGTCATCACTTTATACTCAACACACCAAACTGGATACCTGCATTTATAAAACGCTCACTCTTATTTCATATGTTATGACTCAGAGGATTACAAGGCTGTTTATCAGCAACACTGCTGCAACAGGTAGTGCCACTAACTCCAGCAGGGCTTCTCACAGAACAGAGCTGCAAACCAGTTTGCAAGCTGAAATTAAAAGAAAGCATTTAAGAGTCAGATGAACGTCTGTATCTGTGAAAACATACACACAGGCTCAGGCCAGACCAGGGGATGCCAGCAGCACTACCAGGCATTTGCACTGCTGGGACTACAGGCTACCACCACTCCTGAAGAGACCCCTGCCACAGTGTAATACACAGTTACCCAAAGGAGGAGCAGAAATGCACCCAGCCGTTGTAAGACAAGAGGCACAGACCACCTGATTTGCTCTGAATGTTCTTCATCTAGCTTTTCAAAGAAAAGAATTAAGGGATTTACTTGTGGCTATAGTCTTTCATGGGCAGCTTGGTATCAATAGTACAGCATGGGATATTTAACCTCAAAAATTACCTTTGATTCCTACGTCAATAGAGAGATGGAAGGAATTCTATCAGCAGCAACTTAAAAATGAAAAAGAGCAAGGTAAGACTCTGACATATACTTGGCATTTCAGCTACTCACCCCCTTTGCAAGTTCCCTGGCTCTCACACTTAGATCTCGCAAGATGAGAAGAAACTCCATCCCCCAGCACAGTTATGCTGTACAGGGACAACCTCTCTCTTCCCCAGCCAGTCAGAACATTTGAAAGGCAAGTTCTTACTCTAAGTTATTGGTGACTCACCTGAACTGACAAACACTGAGCAGCACCAGTGCTGACTGTTCTCCTCCAAACTACAGTGCACTGATGGTCTGCAGAGCAGCCCCTTAGTTCCAGCCCTGTGCCACAATAACTAGGGGAGTGAGGAGGAGAAATGTTCTCAAAACAACCAGTTACCAAATCTTCTGTCAATTCAGCAGATCAGTTTCACTAAAGAAAGCACCTACCATTTTCAACACATGTCATATTTATCATGACTAATGCAGTTTATCAGAAGTTAACTTAGTTCTTGCTTTTCTTGAGTTGTTTTTTACTAATAGTCTTTACATCAAGCAGGACAGAAAGACACATTTTCATTCCTTTGTGTTTAATTGCTTCACTATAAATTCTGAACTCCTAAAGTTTCCATCCCTCCCCCAAGGAGTTCTATCACATCCTATTTTAAGTCCCAATTCCAAACCTTTATTTCAGTTGCTTCTTGTTGGAACAGCCCACATCTCAGTACGACTTTGCCTCTCCTATGAGAGCCCCAAAGAAGGACTCTAATATCCAGCTTAGTCCCACTGAAGCAACACAGGGCACTTAAACTTCTATGACCTGTGATAATAATTGGGGTTTATCCATGTACTTTGCTTCTGTGATATTAACCAGTCTTTTTCCAACGAGGAAATACATCTCTGAACGGTTCTGGCGGTGGGCAAGTGTCAGAGACACCGAGCCTCCCTGCGCACACTGATGGGGCTTAGCACACACTGACCAAGGAGTGACAGCAACATGGGACAGAAATCCCCCCCTTAAAGTGGGGTCCAGGGCTTCAGCAGGAGCCGGGAAGTGCTCGTTTCCATCCCAGAGAAATCCAACGAGATCGTGGTAAAAGAACTAGATCGTGGTAAAAGAACTCTCCCCCGGACCACAGTGATTCAGCAAAGATGCTGAGAATGAAGTCGTTTTGCCTTCCTCCCCGCAAGTGACCCAAGAGTCCACGGCGTCACCCCCACCCCAAAACAGAGTCTCAGCTCTGCCTCCTCTCCCCGTGGGGCAGCAGAACCGGCTCCCCTCCGTGCCCGGAGCAAAGCCCACGAGTCCCAGACCCTGCCTTGCTTCAGGTGAGAGCAAAAGTTCCTGTTGGAATGGACACATCTGGCAAAAGCAAGACCTCCTCCNGCCCCGGGGCGGGCGGGCGGTGAGGTGACCGGTCTGAGGTGACTCCCGGCGTGTGGGAGCGCGCCCCCGCCCAGCCCGCCTGCCGCTGTCTCGCAGGTGACGGTGCGGGACGCGCTGAACCAGGCGCTGGATGAGGAGCTGGAGAGGGACGAGCGCGTCTTCCTGCTAGGCGAGGAGGTGGCACAGTACGATGGTGCCTACAAGGTATGTGGGAGACGTTAGCGGCCCGGGAAAAGACTTCAGGCGGGCCCTGACTCCTTTCTCCTGCCCTGCAGATCTCCAGAGGTCTCTGGAAGAAGTACGGGGACAAAAGGGTGATTGACACCCCGATATCTGAGGTAAGGCTGCCCTGTCTCCTACCCTGGTGATCCCTCCATCGGCTGCTGCCTGGTCCTTATCTCTTGGTTTCCTTCTCTTTCAGATGGGCTTTGCAGGAATTGCTGTCGGTGCTGCTATGGTTTGTACATTTTCATTCCTCTACTTCTGGTTTTTAAAATGAGACTATTTTTATGTAAAAAAAAATATGTTTCGTATTTTTATGTAAAGAATCTCTTTTGATACATTTAACAGGCAGGATTGAGACCAGTGTGTGAATTCATGACATTCAACTTCTCCATGCAAGCAATCGATCAGGTTATCAACTCTGCTGCCAAGACCTGTTACATGTCTGCAGGATCCATCGCTGTTCCCATCGTCTTCCGAGGCCCCAACGGAGCATCAGCTGGTGTCGCTGCCCAGCACTCCCAGTGCTTTGCAGCCTGGTATGGGCACTGCCCCGGCCTCAAAGTCGTCAGTCCTTGGAGCTCAGAAGATGCCAAAGGGCTGCTGAAAGCAGCAATCCGGGATGATAATCCAGGTGAGCACAAGCAGGTCATAAATACCTGGCACTTGATCCTGAGTAATGTCTTGTTTTCCCCACAAAAACAAAGACTGGTTAAACCCTAAAGCACTCAAGGTTGATTTACTGCACTTTTAGGGTACGTAAAAAGACACAGAGAGACTTATGCTTTCACTAACAGTAGATTGATTTTGACTGACTTTCTGCTGCTGCCAGGTGTTAGTTTGGTATCAATCAGGAAACCTGGAAGCATTTATAAGTCTGTCATAAAGGGATTAAAAAGGGTGAAGATGAGTTAGGAGGAGTTCCTGCATATATAGCACTTATGTAACTCAATTTTACAGTTCATGAAATTCAAATTATAAATTCAAAATGTCTTTATTCAAGAGCAGGGCAGCCTTTATCTTTATTTTCCACAAAGAGTAATTAAAAATATGAAACCTTTCTAAAACTAGTGATTGTACTGTCATGTACTGAAAGTAAAATACCTGACCTCATTTCAGAGTAGTTGGAGAAGTTTTTTAAATAATTCATTATTGAAGTAAAGACTTAGATTTGCTTTTTTCAAAATTCCTTCTGCAGACATAGTCATCACTGCCTTGCTGCCTGGGTGGGTTTACTGTCTTGAGCTGCAGGACCATTAATGGTCAGTGCTGGCCTGTGCCTGCAGATGTCCATGCTAATCCAAGTATGTTTCCTTGTAGTTGTGATGCTGGAAAGTGAATTACTGTATGGTGTTCCCTTTGAAATGTCTGAACAGGCACAGTCAAAGGAATTTGTTATTCCCATTGGAAAAGCTAAAATAGAAAGGCAAGGTAAGCTGAGAATGCATTTGCTTCCTTTTTAATTCACATGCTTGGAGACTTTTCTTAACCTCTCTGCTATTCAGGGTACTGCTGTCACGGGGCACAGAAAGGTATTTCAGATGTTAAGTGTTCAAATGCTCCTTTATTCAGCAGTGTGGTTTCATGGTCTGTTGCCCTTACAAGGAAATATCATCTGCTTGTCCATATCTCAGTTTAAATGACAACCCTTCTAAATCCTTCTAAAAGATTCCATAAAGGGTTTGTTCTGTAGTATTGAGGTTGGCTGACACCATGTTTTCCTCACCTAAGTATGTAATTTTGATCAAAAATGCAAAAAGCGATCACTGTAGTGTTTCAGCCCACTTGTTCATAATTTACTTCTGAATTATATGGATGTTTGAATAGGATAATCTGAAAACTAAATGAAATACCTCTTCAGTTCTGTGAATTCAAGGGTAAAATTTATGTCTTAACGTGGTTCTTCCTCTCTTCATACTGTGTCTGGGCTCAGTACTTCAAAAACATAAGAACCCTAAATTTGCAAGTGAAACCGAATGCTACCTTGAAAGGAGCCTGAGGTGTAGAAAAAAGCTTTAAATCTCAAGAGCTTCTTCTAAAACTTGTTTCTGTTGTAGGAACTCATGTTACATTAGTTGCACACTCAAGACCTGTTGGCCATTGTGTGGAAGCAGCTGCTGTGCTTTCTAAAGAAGGTGTAGAGTGTGAGGTGAGTGGTGTTTAGGTTATTTTTCTCTTTCCATGATGTGGGGGGGAAAAAGTAGCATCTTCTCGTTCACGTTCTGTAAAACTTCCGTGTATTAACTACAGGGGTCTTAATACTTTCAAGTGCCTTAAGAGCGTGTGCCATTCATGTTTCTGAGTTAGAAATTTTATTAAGTCTTGTCTTTGGAGTCAGAACAGCTGAAAGTGCTGAAGGGCCCTGTACCCAAATAGTGTTGACTGACAGGCTCACACTCCTTTGCCCCCAGGTTATAAACCTGCGAACCATTCGACCGATGGACATCGAAACAGTGGAAGCCAGCGTGGTCAAGACAAACCATCTGGTAACTGTAGAAGGAGGTTGGCCCCAGTTTGGAGTAGGAGCTGAAATCTGCGCCAGGATCATGGAAGGTACCGAGTTTCACAGTACACTGATCTCATTCCCTACTCTAAATCCTGATTATTCTTGATGAAGCCAGACAAAGGCAGTTAGAGGTTACATCAGATGAACTGGAGCTGTCTTGCTCTAGAGATTTTCACAGGGTGGATTAACAAACCCCAGAGTGCATGAACACAAACAAGCCAGAAGACCACTCTCTGGAATATTAGAGCTACAGGAATAAAATCATTTAGAAATTGAATCAAGACAAAACCATAGTACTTGGCAACCTGACGCTGTCTTCTGTTTCAGGACCTGCCTTTAACTACTTGGATGCTCCAGCTGTGCGTGTCACCGGTGCTGATGTCCCCATGCCTTATGCAAAAATCTTAGAGGATAATAGCATACCTCAAGTGAAGGATATAGTATTTGCAGTGAAAAAAGCTTTGAATATGTAAGTTGTAAATACATGTTTTAAAATCCTACTTTACAAGGCATTCTTGGTGTTGCGCACGTTGTATGCATCATTTCTGTTGTATAAGCTCCATGATCTTTTGTACAATGGGGAAAGTATAGTGACCTCCCAAAATATTTATATGGGGTTATCCCCCGCCCCAAGCCACACTTCCTATATGCAACAATGTGGTAATGCTTGTTTGTTCAACAGTACAGCTGGGTTAGTGCTACTGTTTGTGGAGAAACCCTGTTCTAAATTCAGAGTGAGGAAAAAAATCCTCTGTTTATGCTTGGCTTGTAAGTACCAGAGGAGCTGTGCTTAACTTGCTGTAGCAGTGACTGAGTGCAGAGCTGCAAAGAGCAAGAGCAGGCCCTGAATGCTGTACAGCGGCAGGAGCCTGTGGTTGCAAGGCTTACAAGAGGAATGATCTGGCTGATCATGTGAAGCCCAGCCTGTGAGTGCAGCAGTTCAGTGCAGCTCTGAGCAGAGGCTGTGGCAGCCCACAGGCTGGGTTAAGAGATGATGGCTGTGTCTGGTTTGAAGAGCACTCTGCACATGCAGAAAGGCTTCTGTACAAGAGCTCAAATAAAGATCCTGAACTTTTCCAGTATGTGATGGGAAACAATAACTAATTTTTCTTTAGCTGCCACATAACAGTGATTAAAAAAAAAAGTGCCCAGCTGCTTTGCTTTTACTGTTCAAGTTTTTTTGTGGTTTCTTTTTTTTTTTTTAAATTCCCCACCTGGGCTGACAACAGCACACTTCTACTATAGTTTACAGTGCAAAATGAGTTAGTTTATTCAGCTGCACTGAGCCTAAGCAGCCTTAGGCTCAGTGTGGCTTGTGTGGTGAGGAGCTGGGACACATTCAGAGCAGCCTTTTGGAGATCACTGCATCCCAGGGAGCTCTGAAAGGCTTCCCTCAGGAGCTTCTGGTACAGAGGGAAAGCTGCCTTGGGAGCCTGTGCTGCAGGGGCTGCTCTGCACCTCAGGTAGACAGGGAGAGGAGGTCCTTCTGTAAGCAGACAGAAGAGCTTGGGTCCTGTTTCTGAAGAGTCAGGAATATTTCCCAGGGTATTTCCTTTAGGAGAGGTGCTGTTCAGTTCTTGGAACATCTAGCTTGGAGGTTGAATCCCACCTGGACATACCCACCACATGCTGCTGTAGGAATTCCATTAACATTTTAATAAAAATGACTGAATATCACAGGTTACATGAAACTTTGTACAGACATTCTCTGCATAGTAACAAACACTGATGTACTTGAATTTTAAAAAATGGATTATCTATAATCCTTTAAAGTGCAATTTAAGTTTTTAAATCAAAGAGGATCTTTCAATAAAGTTTAAATGGTAGAATTAACTTGAAGTAACTTTTCATTTAATTCAATCAACAGTAACATCCCAGTGCTCTATAACCTCCCACTTCAACTGCTTCCTCATTTAAAAACACTTTCCCCTAGAGCTGCAAGTAGGATGTCCATTTAAACAAGCTTAATGAGTCAGCATTTTAACTCCACCAGCAAACATGGTGGGAGTAAGATTTAATTCTCCAGCTCCCTCACCTGTGCAGTATGCTTTAAGGGTTGGATTGTGTAAAACAAACTTGTTGACTCCACACAGCACGAATTAAGATGAGTTACAAGTGCGTGAAAAGAGCTGAAAAACTGAGCAGACTAAAACTACATTCCTGTAATTTGAAAAAATGGGCTGGAATGGAGCTAGGAAAAATGCATTAATTTACCATCATCATGGTCATTCCTATTTTCAGGGCTTTTTTATTCAGCTGTATAGAAGTTGCTGTACCTCTGAAACTGTAGCTAGAGAACACAGTTCTTGCAGCCAAGTAAAGACCAGAGTACTTAGCCCAGCACAGCAAAGCAACTCGGGCAGGGCAGTGTTGCTACTCAGGAAAGCTGAAACCAGGGAGAGCGGAGCTGCAGCTGCTCTGTGCTGGTGGGTCAGTTGCTGGTCAGGAGGGTCAGCACAGGAGGGGGAGAGGGAATTGAATCCCGGAGTGACCAGTGGCCTCAGCTGATCCTGGGAGCACTGTAGTCGCACGTCTGTGTTTTCTTCAGAGTTCCTTTCTGAAAGTTTTGAATGGAGCTGAGCAAGGCTCCTCGGCTTGCGCTGACGTCGGGCCGCGCCGTTGGCACCTCTGTGCTCAGGGGAGGAGCTGCTGGTGGCAGGGGCGGCGGGGGCGGTGCTGGGGGTATGGACGATGCTCCTGAGAAGTTGGGGAGAGAAGATGGAGTTTGATTATGCCAGGGATGTCCTGCCACAGAGGCCTGCAGCTGCTTGGCTGGACCTGGTCAGTCCTGCACTAGTCCCATCATCCCTTGAATGAGTGTGAAGAACAGAACAGGTGGAAAATGCCAAAGTGACCGAATCCCTCTATCTGCAGGTGAGTCATGTCATCTGAGATACCTCTGAAGTGAAGCCTGAAGGGCCTCAGGACTCCGATGCAAAACATGACTCATATGTGATCTTGCACCAAGGAAAATAGAGATCACTTTACATGACTTTCCAGATTCAGCCTCTGTTTGTCCCTAGTGAGGCAGTTTGCTCTTTGGGACATGAACAGTAACAAAGACTGGAAGTGGATTTTACTACCTGTTCTTACTTACGTAACTCACTTTACATTCCTATGAATGAAGGACAACATCACTGTAGTATCTGTGAGGACCATTTTGCTTGGTCAGATTATACTTCATTTTTAAAGTACTAACTGCAGATAGAGTTTTCTGGAAGTGTTTTGCACTTCCAAAGTTCTGTTTGACTTTCTCCAAATACCTTGTAACAAATGTTTCGACAGACAGAATGAATTACAACACTGTCACGCACACCTCCAGCCTCTGCCTCTGCTGTTCTCACCAGCCACCTCTGTAGTCTGTCCCTTGCTCTCTACTCCAGCCGCATCCACTTTCTGCTTCTTCAACCCCAGCCTCCACATCTGACTCCTGGGAGACCAGAGCCCACAGTGGAACATGCAGCTGGTCCAGCGGTGAGGGCCTGCATGGAGCTGTTTCCTGGCAGCTCAGATCCAGTCAAGTGGCCTCATCTGCCCCAGGCACTCCTCCGCACACCCTGATCTTGTGCAACTCTGCTGCTGCACATTGCACCATCATAGCCACACAAGTCAAATAATAATGGGCCTATCTTGTCTTATACTCTGGAAGGAGTATGGGCATAATGTCTGCGATAAATATCCTGCAACTACTCATCAATGAATTTCAACTCTATCATCTAGATCATGAGTTATGCCATAGGAAGACTGAAGAGACAAATAGCACCTACTAACACTTGATTCTATCTCTGACCTACAAAGAGGAATATACTGGTAAGTGACAAAAACTGTGATGCTGGGCAAGGTAAAACAACATTAAGGCAACCAAGAGACCGTTGTTCCTGAAGTAGAACTGCTTGCTAGAAGTGAGCAAATATCAAGCAATTATGTAACTTTATGGATCTCAGACTCAAAAAGGATCTGATGAAAGATAAAGGTCAGTTACAGAAAAAAAGCAGGAAAAAGTTCTCTGTGCTCCATTTGTCTCTCAATTCCTCATTAACAGTTGTTTTAAGACTAAGTAACTAAAAACAGAACTACTGTTTTTAAAACAAGCAGTTATTCTAGATGAAAGACATAATTCAAAACTCCTTCTTTTCCTGTCTGTACCAGTCTTTGAAAAAAGACTTTTCCCATACGAGAGCAAGCTCAAAATGCAGAGTATTCACATAAAGCATCCAATTTTGCCAGTGTACATTAATATGTGCTGTGATTGTAGCACTTCCAGCTCTTCAGGAGAAGTTCTCATTGTCATGAAAGCCTTCTCTGAAAGCAAAGCACTGAAGTACATATTGAGCTCATCTTCACTCTCTTCCCTTCCAGAGGAAATACTCAAGTCCTGCCTAATAGAAATACCAGAGATCAACTGAAACAATTTAACCTGTCTGTTGCTTGTGGATCAACTGCTTTCTGAAGTAACCAAAACATTACACAATGGCAGCACAAACTGAAATAAATTGCTTACTGGGACCTTCTTACTTATCCAAATCTGATTTTTACACTTGCCAAAGATGTACATCAATTTACTATTAGAAACACTCAAAAGACATTCCCAGCGTTAGAGTCCTGTTTCTCTTGTGGATGGACTGTCAGGAAGGAAAACTCTGGCACTTGGCCAAAGGAAGAACAAGACTAAGAACAGTCCAAGTACCCATTCAGTGGTTGAAGTGGTCGGAACAGGACCCTGCAGGACTGGTGCACCAACCTACCCCCATCAGGTACATCAGATCACATAAACTACTGTAAAAGCACCAAGGGCAGCTGATCACAAAAGAAATGGCTTCAAAGAGATTCAAAAACTGCAGAGAACAAAGATGAGATTTTTGTCTAGAATTGCAAGGTGAGGCTGAAAGAGACTATGCAAGTAGATGTACAAGATGAATGACCACAAAAGCAGTGGCCAGGGAATACAAATACAATGGTAACAACACGTGGTGAAAGAAGGCACACGTTTGACATATAGAGGGCAAAAAAGACACAAAATGCTTGGATCACTAAGTGTTAGTAGGCCAAGATTCCACATGTTATCTTCAAATTTTGGTCTTTTACAAGAGTAGAAAAGACAGGGAAGTAGGGGCAGAGATCACCTTTCTTCCTGGAAGATTGTTAAATTCCTCAGGACTCACTATTCTTGAAATTGTGCTGCTGACAACATCATTTCCTTAAACTCCTGGGAAACTGGTAACAACAAATTACAACCTTACATCTGAGCTCCACCTTAAGACATAAATACACACAAGGCTCAGAATGGTATCTGACTAGCTATAAGCATGACATATTGAACCTGTTAATTAAGAGCATGATTCAAAAATCTTCATATCTATTCACTTCAGTTAGGCAATCAACACCAAGCTGTCCTTCCCTTCTTGACATGAGTGGTGCAAAAGAAATCTCAATTTACACACATGCATTCATAAACATTTACATCTACAGATGAAAATGTTCTGCCCTATAGTGAAATATTTTCCTAGAAATATTTTCCTGTATTTACTAGTAAAAGCATTTGAGACAAGTGCTTGGCTATCACTAGGCCCTTCCAATACATATGTTGAATGACTTTGCCTGCAAATACACATTCATTCATGCAGTTGTAAGAATAAAACACTCAAACAAGAACTTACCAAGGGTTTTTACAGGGACATTTTTGTTAAAAGAGTGTGTTAAAAGGAATAGGAAGTAAATCAGATGCTGTAAACTTGATGCCTGAATTGAAACAAAAACTTAATTATGAATTTAAAGTGACAGCAATTGTGCAAACAGCATTAAAAACTTGGCTGAGAATGGGATGTGAACAAAGAAAATAATTTTAGTGATAGTTTTTAAAGATGCTGTATTTCATTAAAATAATCTGTAAGAACATCCAGATTTTTTTTTCTTCTATTCCCTCCCAATACTAAGCAACTTCAAGATTTGCATCCAACTTCCCCATTCAGAAACAGAGCATCTTTAAAGAGATAAATCAGCATTAGCTTACTTTTCCGAAAATTCACGTTCAAAATGATGCATGCTCTATTGAAGACAGCAGAGAAAGAGAGAGGACACAAGT